ATTTGATAGGACGGCCGCCGCTGGAACCAAGAACATACTACGCCACCTGGGATTTACTCAAAGCGCCCAAGACGAAAATATCTGGCTGCATACTGTTCCTTGAAGGGGCTACTGTTAAAGTATCTTTACTATAGAAGTGTGCAGTTATAGAAGTTTATCATCCATATTTAAGCAAACGAAGTATAAGACAATGTAAACAAGCTCCCTTATTTATCCTTTCACATATTACAACGTTCACTGTAGTATTTTCCCTCGTTCGTTAGCCATGTATGGGTAATAATACAAACACAATCATCACAAAATATTGTGATATTACGAGGAGTATTACTGATAATTGCGGAGACTAAGTTCTAACATTGTGGAGACTAAGTTCTAACATTGCGGAGATTAAGTTTCCTACGATCCTATAATCGACCATCTTGAGTTGGAATAAAGTACGCTAAAAAGGCTGCACAACACTTTGTTACATGTTTTTTTTTCGCTCGCTTTGTGGTAAAGGGAATAGAACATAACTATTGGACACGAAAACCTACATAGTTCATGCCCATTGCAACTCATAACTAGGTCGTCTTAGAGATAAGCTTCCTTGCATGAACACAATAGTGTTAAATACTACTATACACATACATACGTATCGAGTTTTCTACCACTACCGTTCAATAATAATAAAATAATAAAAAAGATGTTGTTTCTATGTTCTTTATATGCAATTTCTGTTGCGTTTTATACCGACTATTTTTTAATAGAGAAGAATGTCCCCAGTATATGACATTCTTCAGATGGTTACAAGTGCATTATCTTCAACCTGAAGTTGCTAACATGCTTGCCGATTATTAAACTTAACCAGCGTGCGTGGAATGAAAATGATTTCATCGGAATATTGTAGTAAATACGGGAACTGACTGAACCAACCAATCTAGTATTAAATGTTTGTTTGTTCAGTCATTCACTTTGATGACTACAATATACTTTAAGATTGTATTTTTTTGTCGTTTTTTATTTTGTGGGGTTGGCACAGGCTCCTTTTAGCTCGAATGCATCGTCGAGAAATCAATCTTAGATCCATAAATTCTATAAGTTTAGACAGGGACGCAACTACATACCAACGAGCAGGAGCTATACTGAGTACTGAGAACAGTCGATATCATCTCGTTTGGTCTGATTCCTGCTGAGCAAAGTCATGAGCAAATAAAGGCAGTCGCCATGTAATCATCTTGTTTGGTCTAATCTCTGCTGAGCACAGTCATGAGCAAACTTCGTATAAAACGAGATACCGCACTGTATTATAGATTTAGTCCTCGTATTAATAAAATGCATTTGCAACATTAGTAGAGGTTTTACTGGTGTATTGAAGATCAACTATGTACAATATGTAAACGTCGGCCAACAATATTGTGCTGGTCAGTTTAAGTATCTCTGAATGTGATATCAAGAAGGGTTGTGAGGTTGTCGTCCGTAATTTTGTTTCGGAACAAAGTCAGAGGCTGCCCGATACCATGCCACACAACTGATGTATTTGAAATATCCTGGTTAGCCATAGCGGGAAGTAATTTAAGCGGTACCAGAAAGTATTATTATAGCAATAGCTTCCACCGACCTGTATTAATCAAAGATGAATTCACCTCCTCGTACTTCATGCTCTGCGGGCAAGACGACAATTTAAACCCCTGATTCTGTACGTAGTTTGTGTATGTGTGTTAGTGATGCACGATGCATTCAGCTGAACGATCACGTGTTTACTATACCAAGCAAGAGTGTTCCAGTTAAATATCGGCTCTAGATCAGAAAATTTAGACCAGACTCGAATGCGAATGAGGTTGACAGATGGTTTGACCACCTTATGCGACTAATAGTAAACGCGAAGCACTTCTGCTTTACAGACCTTATATGGAAGCATTCAGGTTTGCATCCTGGTTCAGATGCAGTGCCCAACCCCACGTTGATGTGGCGTAATAATAGTGTGCTATTTCATCGGCCTAATTATCAAAAGGCACGGCTGTAATATATATGTACTCAATCTGATGAAATATGTGGAGAAGACTTGACGTATGAGGGATCGAGTCTCCCTGGTAACAAGAAGATCAGAGACGTGTGGCTGAAGATGCTTGTACGTGATTCAAGTAAGTCCAAGATCTTGAAAGCGTATAGTGAAGAGGTAGTAGCTAGTAGTTGTAGTTCCACAGGCGATAACATATCTACGGCGGTAGTGCGTCCACAGACAGTCACATCCATGAATAGCGATTTTAAGGAGAAAATGAAGCGAATTTGTTTCAAGGTTGCTCACCATCACTTTCGTGCTGACCAAGTTCTAATTGCAAAAAAAGAGCCGTAAACGGGTTAAAATAGGCGAGCTTCCAACATTCACAACCGTAGACAGTAGTAATGGGCCTACGCCAGATGTGCGACGAGATACTCCTATTATAAAATACACCCATGTCTCTAACTATTCGCAAACTATCATTATTACTTAAAAATCACCTTGAGAAGAATAGACTGAACACACAGCAATAGAGATTACACCAGAACATGAATGCACACTCACAACAGCGGATGTGTATTTTGAAGAGTTAACTAACGATAGAACGCTGTGTAATACTGTCACCGATGAACCGTCCTTAGAGTACGTGCGTAAAATTTACACGCACATTGGGATTCGGGTATCAGTTTTAGCAGCATGGGACATGGTTCACGAGAGCGTTGGTGAAAGTGTATTTTCCAGAAGAGTCAACCGCGGGCACACCAACGGAAGATGATGTTTAAGTAAAAATGAAAGATTACAAGTTTCATGCGGCTCAGTACAGGCTCACACTATTCCAGTAGTTTGTGTTATGGCTTACATTGTCAAGATACATGCGTTTTAATCCTGCGGATGCGCGGACACACTATGGGGTAAGGAAGGCGTCGGCAAAGAACAACTATATTACATGGACGTATGCTATTGGAGCCATAGTACGGAAGACGCAACCAATACTTACCAACAAAGAAGAGTTGGAGATGAATGACATGCACGTAGTTTGCCCTCGGAAGAAGGCAAACTTGCAGATAGCGTTTGATGTTGAAACTGTGTGCTCTGACAAGCAGACTGCAAAGTTTTGCATCCACATCGAACGCAATAACGAAGAACTCCAGAATTATAGAGCTTGGAACAGGGGTACAATAACTTCATCTGAACTAGACCCTTGCTTTAGGAATCAGAGTGCATACGGGGGTTCACAAACCTGAAGCCACCAATTCATGATTGGTGACTGCCCATGGGAGTGCGCATAGATCGCCGAAAGAAACGTAGCAAGGTGCCTGAGGGTGCTACATTTGTATGTCTAAAGGAGAAGAGGCTCTGTAGTGTATCCCTTGCTGATGAATCTTTCTCGCTATAATTTACCTTCGGTATATTTAAACCTAACCAAGGGTTGAATTCGTGTCTAATACAGGAAGTATAAAAATCTGGCGATTCACACTGCCAATTTCGAGGTCCTGTCCCTCTACATCGTCAATCGTTGCCCCCCTGGCCTCTCCATATATTGTCCTTATCTGTGCTTCTTCGCTACATAACTCGACTACCGTCTCTAAAGCTGCGCGGATATGTACGCAACCTCTCACATAAGATTTGTATTGCTTTGGAATAATAGTAGGAAGAAATTATAACGCAACTTCAACATCATTACATACCAAACGTGTGTAAATATTCCTAACTATACGTGTACATTTGAGTCTAGTATATACATCAAATAGTAAAGTATTCATACTTCTACCCACAGCCGATTTAAAGTAGATAGTTATAACCTTGTCAACTTCCACAGTTATTCCTATTTGCATGATTACGTATCTGCGCTTCTGTTGAGCATCTTGGCGTGTAGAGCAATACCCGTCTTCCCTGTCGAAATAGTCAGGCCACGATATCTGTTTCCATTATTACTTTCACAATATTATCCTAATTGGATGGTTCAAGCTCGACTGTATCAAATTTTTTCCGTATATTACTTGCTGTGCTCTTTGTTTCCGTAGCAGCTCTTTTGGGTCCTCAAATATACTTTTACGTACTGTAGATCTAACACGAGACGTAGCGCTGGCAGTGATGTATTGCTATAGATCAGTATGTCTCGTAATACGCCCTGATATACTTAAACCATGCGCAGTGCAATAAGTACGGAGTTGCACGGATGTCATTGTTGAGAAGTCTACTGGTGGCTTGCCTTTCGCGAATGATGTAATACGTGGTACTGCATCGTAATACTTAATAAAGCAGTTTGCATCTTCTGTCGATGGCGCCATATGCCCAAGCAGTGCAGAACGAGGGGCTGCAGTTGAGGCTAACTTTATCGGTTTCCCAAGGCCTGTGTATCGCTTCACCAAATACTGTAGCATTCTGGAACACAGTAAGTATTCGCTTTTTAGTATCCGCACGCTGATTGTTAAAGCCAGAAGCTAGCTTACGTGATATACTATGTTTGCACATCATATACTGGCTGACACAAATACATGCGTGCTGCTTCACGTATCGCCTGTGTAGCTATATATAGCTCCGAAGGGTCCTTTCCGTAAAGAATGCGTTTGCGCTTTTATCTGCCTTTTGGCAAGTCTACTTCGGTATATTGAACAAAATAATTATTGATGGATGTTGCCACTGCAAAATTTTGATTATTGACCATTTGTTCAATAATTGCTCTTACCAGGCATTGTGTATACTAAATTTAATTTGATCTAAATTCTTGTTCACAGCCTTGACATCAGAGGCATCTCATCATCGCATTTCAGTTCCGTAATGATTATTCCCTGCTTCGTGCAACTATGCACTGGAAGCTCAAGCTAGCACCACGTGAAGCACGGCGTTCTCTCGACGAATTGCTGATTTACGATGGTAAGAGTTGGTTCATATCAGTAACATTGTATCATTGAAACGTGCATGGTATAAAGCCAAGGAAGCAATCGTGAATGGTCAGCAGTATTCGATATCAAATTGTACACTTGTTACCGGACTCTGAGCAACCATTTTATGGAATACATATGAATATGTCATCGAGCGATCACCTTGCCCACGAAGGAAAATCATCGTATCAAAAAACTCAGACTCACCTGGTATCGATGCTTGCCATCCTCAGTGATCGTGAATATTGGTAGTTGAAGTAATTGCCAGGGCGTCAGCCGATCCTTTAGAGCTTGCATTAAATTCATAACCTACACAGCGAAAAAAGATATCAGTTGAAATGGTAAAGCTTGTTCAGATTGCACACCCGTATTTGACGGCGTCGATGCGGAACAAATTGTGTGACCACAAACGAAAATGACAGCACTATGGTAAAATGCCGCAGAAAACCAACAATAAAGCTTTTTTCATCTCTTGTGTGGTGAGAGCGATACAATTCATCTGGTACAATACGTCTATCGAGGCAAAGTTCACGACCATGATATAATTTCACCTCGAATAAATACAATTTCCACGATACCTGGCCCCTAATGACTGATGCTTGCTTCAGCCACAGTGTCTTACTGAACCCTTTATCTTTCTTGAACGTGAGATGTATCCTTTCGATCATACTCTCGACAAAAGCTGTCAAAAAAAAGGAAGGAAAAAAAGTATTAGCAACATCCCAAGGCTGCACGCATGCGACACTGGACGATACCAAGGGCAGTACACGCTGAAAACTGCTGAGCAAATATACCACACGATTAGAAAATTAGTGCTGGGAATGGATTAAGCGGACGAAAATGGGGCCAAGGTAATATACTATGGCACAAGAGTGCGTTCACATACCTTCATCGATCAATAATGGCATTAACTTGGCCACCAGGGCCTCCGAGAACGGAATTCTGGCTTGCGGCAACCAGGCCCAGTGATAGGGGTATGTTCTCCAGGAATCCGGATGTTTAAAAGGAAAATTAAGTCCATTATCTATTGCAGCTAGGCTTATGGTGTAAGATGCGTCGTTAGTTTCAGCAATAAAATGGCTGCCCTCCGGCAGCTGTGCTGTCAGTGTACTAGTGTTCTGTGTGTCTGTGTTGCGACCTTCCTTCTTCTGAACTTTCAGCAGCCAATTCTCCATGCCACGGTCTGATTAAAAATAAGAAGAAAATGTTTAAACAATGCAGGTTGGAAATATAGCACAGTACCATCTCTACACAGGCACAGCACCGAATAATTTTTAATGATAGTGAGTGCGTCTAGATTATGAGGTGAAGACATACGTACGCTATGACTGCCGCAAGACTGCATGTGCAAAATGTACAATACGCCTCAGAATATTGGGCTTCATAGGTGCATGAGTTTACAAACTTGAAGAGACCGAGATGAATATCAAATACCCATGTTGATTCGTAATTGACATGCTACGAGTGCAAACACAAAACACACACTGACGATAACACGTAATACAAAACTGATTTTTATCAAAGACATGGCAGGAAAACAAATTATTACCTGTATTTCGTGTAATATAATCCAGCACGACCATTCTCTCAAACTGCGGTTGGAATGACTCTAAAAGATGTGGGTCCGCATCTTCGGCCTCCAGCAGTCCCACCATTTCAATAGCATCCTGAAAAAACGACAGAATGGCAGAGATATGTTTCAATTTATGCAAGTCGGTTTCGCTAGTTTTTTTTCAACGTCCAGATCCACGCTTTGCATCATAATAAGCCATATTTGGATCTATCATAATATATATTAAACGTCACTTCTGCATTGCCATGTATAGCTCTGGAGAAAAAGGTCTAGCTCTGCGTAGCACGCTAATAGACGAGTACGTTATACCTTGTATCCGGCAACAAACATCTGTAGAGACCCGGTTTTTGGCGGCAATGGTTTGTTGGGTGAAAACCACCGAACAAATCTTACTGATCTGTCATAGTTGAAGGCTGGACTCGCTAATTTCACCACCTACGTTATATAATAAGAAAAAGACTTAAAGTGGGCAATAATCGACACGCGTGTTCAAAAAAAAGTACGGAGGATACAGAATAAACCTTTATTGAACGTATCACTACCCGTTGTCGATGATATTGGGGGGTGTAGATCTTCAAAAAGAGTATTCAACTGAGGCGGACAGAGTATTGGTGTGCCTTTATTAATAAACACTTTCGGATACAAACGTGTGAATATTCGATGTCCGATGCGACCGCCCGTGACAAACGAGAAGAGACCGCAAAATTGACAAATAGCAAAGATGTAAAATTTTACAGGGAATGACTAAACAATAAGCTCATTTACCTTAGTTCGGGGCACCACATTTAATTGCAATGCATCGTCAACGATGCTTGCACCAGCTTCCGACAGGTAGCCCTGTACGGTTTGAGTGCAAAAGCGTGTGTTGGATGCAGGTGAGCAGGACAGCCATAGGTTTGTATTCAAAACTTCACAGACGCGCCAGGTCAATTCATCAGGAATGAATCGCTGCACACCGTGGCGCATCAAGCGTAGAAACACAACTAAACACATATTCGTAACATGTATCGAGCACTATGAGGGCACCAAGCAATACCTGCTACCAGGAAAAATAGATATTGCAGCCTTAAATAAAATTTCACCAATAATGATATATACTAAAGGCTGGCGCCTAAACATCTGAATATGCGGTCAAACGTACCTGATTAGGAATCAGACAGCTTCGTCCAAATGCACAAGGGCATATCGTTCTGTGAAGCCATTTCGTCCATTTTGGGTTTAAAGAGCCGTACGGTTCTTCGTCCTTTGGTTTGAATACCCCTATTTTCTGTCGGTAAAAAATTGTAACCAAAGTTTTGAGATGTGTTATGTACACATGCGGCAGCGGTTATTGTTACATCTAGCAATACCAACCAGGTACATACCTATACACAATCGCTCTCAGAAATCCTATGCTATTGAACTCAAAGAAGGATCCAGTACGCTAGACCACTCTATATTAGAACGGAGGGATAGCTTGGTATAGTGAAACTCACGTGATTGGCCACTGAGCCTACACTAACCAAAAGAACAGCGAAACCAGGGCGCTTACCTCTCCCTTTGCGTTCTTACAGAAATAACTGCCGCTACTACCCTGGACTATGCGTTCAGGATGTACCCCACACTGAATTGCATCTTTGATATCTTGTAGCTTCTTATCAAACTCCTTGTCCCTCCTTAGGGATACAACACTGTCCAATAGTCCATTTTGATCGCCATCAACAGGGTTGCTCTCAATCAAATTCCGATATATCGACTGCACATTAGAATACGGTATTTACACATCGAGAGTGTCAGACATGCCATCAACGACTAGCGATTCACTCAGCTGATCGGTAAGTCAATGGCACATTTATCGTGAGATCAATTGTGCACCCTAATGCACACATAAATTGACATCAGCATATACACTTCCGATGACTGCCCCGCAGCCAATGCCATTCTACTAAAATTTTCAAAGCTCTACAAATCCCATACTAGCCACATTGATTAAAATTACTCCTTCATCACTAAAATATAGGAACGTAACCATAGATAGTTTACTATGATATACGAACACAATCACAATTAGAATAATATGATTGAGATTATTATTTTATTGAGTTGGAGAAGTTGAACATATATATACCGCACCGCGTTCCGGAAAATCGAACATTTGATCATGGAGAAAATTTCGCGAAATGCAAATTTCCGCTTGCTTTAAAAATCCAAATAAAACTTAATTGAAGAAACGGATACTACATATCCTAAAAAAAAGCCTACTTACATGTATGTATATTTGTCTACGCATAACGAACAGATGAAAGTAACTGATAAGATACGACCATAGAAAACAATATACCTCTTCTATAATAAGAATGTGTATCGACACCACATACACATTCACAAACACCATACTATGTATGACTGTGAATCCATGAATAAATACTCAAACTCTAACGAAACATATATATGTATATCTATAATTCATGTATATGTGTATATACATAT